ACTACGACATATGGTCCACTCCATTGCAGTTGCAACTTGTTGTTAACTGTTGGTCGCATCATCAAAACTAAGTCAACTTTAAACTGTCTATCTTTTGCACTAACATCATAATATCTGAAGCTAGCTTACAAGTATCTTGTAACCGCAGTTGTATGACATAATTGGTACTTACCTCTTCTGTAACTTCCGTTCCAGTCCACATCTCTTTAAGGATATAAAGTGGTCCTAAGGCGTTTGCCTTAACAATGCTCTACCAACCCCATCCTTACCCACTGTCTTCTGACAAATTTCGCACGATTTGAATATCGTTGAACATCCCCTCGTAGACCTGGCCAATAGAACACATTCAAGATCTTTTCCATCATCTTTCCTACTCCAAGATGACCTGCCATCGGGACGTCATGGGCTAACCCCATTACCTAGTGGAATAAAAACTCTGAACAAAAGTCCTTGTTTTTCTTTAAATTTTAAAACATTTCCCTTACATGTTAGTCTTTCTTTTTCATCCCCTACTTAATTCCACAGCTTATTAAGACTTGGACCCTTCTGTTGTGCATCAGACATATCTTTCACCGACGTTGACAATTCACCAGCACTGCTAACTAACAAAGGCTTAAATGGTATATTTTCCTTTTCTACCATACTATGGGTCTTCACCCTCCCACTAAAGATCCACGTAGGACATTAAACCCCATTTCTACATTACCTAGACTCCCGACCAAAGGAATATTTCCCACGATTAGATCATAATGGATTATTCATTCACAACGCTGTAACAAACCCTTTAAAATATGGACAGTCAATCCACACTTTAGTTGAAGGCACCACACTTTCAGTACCACTACAACCTAGCCTAGGCTTGAATTCATACAGATGAGCTTCCAACCATCAATAAGCTAATCTACCCATTTATTCAATACTTTCAGGTTTGCGTTCCAAAGTTAACTCATTAGATACAGTTAACAGAAATTGTTCTCGTAGAAGTATGTCAACAAAGTCATTATACTCCTTCCTGGTATCACAAAACTCAACCCATCTCTCTAAGTATCCCTTCAACCTTTGGGTAAACTGTACAAAACTCTTATCACACTCCCGCTTCACTATTCTCAGCTTCTCCCTGTACCCTTCATCCGTTAAGGGGTCCTTCACAATTATCGACATTTTCACAAGTGTCCAAAGAGTACACTTTTTCATGACCCCACCTCCCCCCTGAAAGTGTACAAGAAAAATGTTGATTTTTTTTTTGGCATCTCGGAACAGCCAATTCAATAACTAAGTAAATTCAATACAAGACACATTAAATTGTACTATGTGTAAAACAATACATTTATTTATCTCTACAGTGGCTCTCATGGTAGCGGCTTATTTTAGCCTTAATGAGAGTCTCCCGACCATCAATGTGCTATAATTTAATTACAGTATACACAATATTTGTTTGTTATAATTTTGTTAACGCTCGCGCTTTTGATCATTCAATTTGGAATTGGCGCCTTATAAATGTTTGAGTATTATTATTATAATTTTGGACAAATAAAACAATCTGAGTTGTGAGTTCAGTTCTAAGTTATTGTTGACTAATCCGTATGAAGATGTGTACATCGCGACTACTAATAGCCAAAGCTGTAGCAGGAGCACCTTTTGGTTCATAAACTTCCACGTGAATAGTGAAGCAGCAACAGTTTCAGTACTCTTGGCAGTTTGAGATGTAGCCAATAGCCTAGTAAAGAAAAAATATAGAGAAAAATAACAATATAACAGCATTTATTCCAATAAACAGGACATTTATTCGAATAAATAAGGTACTGTACTTTCAGCTTTAGTATAATAAAATAATGTCAGTATTATTAAATCAGGGAAAAATACACACACAAAGCTAGGCCTGTCAAGTGAATGAGTGGAATTTAAAAAGGTGGAAGTATTGTAAATCAATCAGAAAGAAAATAACAAAACTTCAATGAATGACAATATGAGAGCATTTTAATTGAATATATGTAGGGCTAGCCTCTATTTTTAGGCCTAGCTATTAACTAGGAGCAGTTGGCCTAGGACTAGTAGTAGTTTAGGCCTTGCCAGCAGTACAGTAGGCCTAGCCTAGTAGTAGTAGGCCTAGACTACGTAGTAATACTAGCTAGTATTAGTAAAGTATGCTAACCTATAGAATAACATTTTTGGACAGGCTACATTCTACAAAAATGTCACACAGCCGATAGGGCCTAATGCAACATTTGCTTTTTATAAGACAAGCTAGGCTAGGCCTAGCCTGGGTCGTTTGCAGCGGCATTGCGGCGTCGTAACCCTGGTCGTTTTGGCCGAAAACGAGACAGTGAGCTATTCAATGAATAGGCCTAGCTAGGCCGGCCTATAGATAGGTTACTCTGTAGACTGTATTACTAGCCTAGCCCAGTTTATTGTATATTCAACAAATTAAACCAAAATTAGCAAAACAATTAGGCATTATCTTCATCCTCTGTACTTTTTCCGTTTTCAATTTCGCTTTTTTTTTAAAACGATGGCGGTGTCATGATTGAGCAGTCTCCGCATAGACCAAGCAACTATCAACACACATTCAGTCGCGAGAGTTCAAAGAATTTTTTCAATCGCGAATACATCGTAACGTAAAACAAGGCTTATACACCCATATCAATGCATATTCTCACTACTCCATGAAACTGGAGTTTATCAAACTTTCGCCAGTAGTGTGACGATTTTTGACCGACATTTTATTACTTTTAAAAAGCGTATGCCAGGGTTTACCCCCTCCCCCCCCCAACGTACGTTTTGTACGCTTGTGAAAATGTTGATAATTGTGAAGGACCCCTTAGTAACTACTGTATATGGTTAGGGTTCTTACACGTTCCGTTGATTATTGCATGTTCACGTTCACGTTCAATTCACTAGAAAGCCAAAAATATTACTCTGAATATATTTATCTTTTAAAATGGGCATTATCTACACATACCACTACAAATAATTTTGAATAAGGCATTAACTACTAAACATCACTCAGTACAGCATTAAACGATTGACTTCACACTCTGACAGGAAGCAGTTATCAGGTGCCAGTGTGATGAATATTAATTAGATTACCTTAAGATAATGCTAAGTTTGTTCTAGCTTTATTCTGAGGATTAACTTAACTGAGGAAAAAAAGCATTATGTAAATGTAAATATTATGTAAATATTAATTGCGAAATTCTATGCATTTTTAATTTGATGTAAATATTCCTAATTGGTTTTTTTTTCAATGTGTATTACTATTTTATTTTTCAGCTAAATAATTAAAAACTTAATTTAATAACAATTCTTGTGCAATATAAATAATAATTTCATAATAATATGTTACCGTATATTATGATGTATCCTTGGTTTTCACATTTACATATTAAAAATAATTATTTTGGTGCTTTAAATATGTTTTTAGTGCCTGCAAGGATCATGAAAATTTAGGAATAACATTTTAGTAGCATTATTATCCGATGACCATAACGACGATAAATAAGGATGATAATTGTGATTATAAAGATAATTGAAATAGGTTGGTGTTGCATCTGATTAGAAGCATAGCGGTTGAATATGTCCTAAAATATGGATAATTTTTCAATTTACCACAAACCTTACATGAACGCAAAGAAAACCCGCCATCAACACCGCCCCAACCCCCATCCAACAGCAAGCTGACCCACCTAAGCTGACCAACTTAAGCTTCTCCAACACACTATGAATGAAACATATTCCTTCTTGTTTGTTCTTGATTGGCTTATTTTTTTTATACCTTACTTACAAAACATTTGTTAAATATTACATTAAAGAAATTAAGATTTTAACGTGTGTACAATTTTAAAATATTAATTTTATTTTTACATAAAATTTAGAATATATATTTATGAAAAATTCTTATATTTCAAATTACAGTGACATACGTTTACAATATTCATGCACTTATTTAAAATTCATCGATATATTGTATTTTGGCTGCCAATATGGCTGCCAAAATACAGATAAATCAAAATAACTTCTTGGATTGTTTTGCATAACCAGTTGGCTTTTAATATTAGTGTTGCCACTATTTTGCTTGACCTCTCAAAACCGTAGTATAGAAACAAAACTGTCATTCTTTGTAAACTATTATGAGAGATTGGTGATTGTTTTTCTAGATTTGGCAGCCAATTTGGATTTTCACAGCCACAAGAGACTGAAATTGGTATTTGATGGTCGCAATGTGTTTTGACTTCTTAAACCATAGTATATACCAAAAAAATTTTGTTCTATGTAAAATATTAAAGGAATTATGGGTATTATTCGAATTTGGCGGCCATTTTGGTGGCCATCTTGGATTTCTCGAATGTTACCCGGTGGAATACCAATCTGGACCACTTGAAGAGCCAGAATCCACTGTAAAGAATTATGCACTAAATTTAGCACGCCTAACCAAAAAATTGCCATTTGGCAGCCGGACTGCTAGGGCTTTCCCAGTAAGCAAAGTACTTATGGCTAACACTACTCATCCGTGGGCCACCCATTCCTTTCCGCAAACTGCTTAAAACGCCTTAAGTATGTGTCCAAATCATCAGACGTATTCTTCAATGGGAGTAATTTCCCAGCAGACATTCTGACGTTGGATCGACGTCGAAATCAGGTTGGGACGTTGATCAACATAAATACAAGTCTATTCAACGTCGATCCACACCCGTCGATTCAACGCCGTGATGCAACGTTGGTTCAACGTTGTAATGTAATCGGTGTCGAAAAACCAACGTTGCATCGACGTTGAAATTTGGTCAGTCATTTCAACAACAAAAATTCAACGTCTTTTCAACGTCGATTGTCATCGTCGATAAAACGTCGTGATGTGACGTTGGTTTCACGTTTTACACTGACGTTGAATCAACGTTGAAATTTGGTCAGTCGATTTACCAACGAGGATTAAACGTCTATTCAACGTCGATTTTTGATGTAGCTACAACGTCGCAATTTGGCGTTGATTCAACGTTGAACACTGACGTGGAATCGACATAGAAACTATGTCAGTCACAGTGACTGACATAGTTCCTACGTCAATTCCACGTCAGTGTACGACTTAACAAAATTCAACGTGTTTGCAACGTCGATTCTCATCGTCGATACAACGTCATGGTGTGATGTTGGTTCCACGTTTTACACTGACGTTGAATCAACGTTGAAATTTCGATTCACCAACAAGAATTCTGTGTCTATTTAACGTCGATTTTTGATGTAGCTACAACGTAACAATTTGGCGTTGATTCAACGTTGAACACTGACGTGAAATCGACGTTGGAACTATGTCAGTCACTGAACAACCAAAATTCAACGTGTTTTCAACGTCGATTTTCGTCGTCGATACAACGTCGTGATGTGACGTTGGTTCCACGTCTTACACTGACGTTGAATCAACGTTGAAATTAGGTCAGTCAATTTAACATCCAGAATTTAACGTCTATTCAACGTCGATTCTCGATGTTGCTACGACGTCGCAATTTTGCGTTGACCACTGATGTGGAATCGACGTTGAAACTATGTCAGTCACTGAACAACCAAAATTCAACGTGTTTTCAACGTCGATTCTCTTCGTCGTGATGTGACGTTGGTTCCACGTTTAACATTGACGTTGAATCAATGTTGAAATTATTTCAGTCGATTCAACAACCGGAATTCAAGATCGAGAAAGAAATTGTTTAGGTCGGCAATCCAGTCTATTCAATGTTGATTTTTGTCGACAATAAACTGATCGTAATATTACGCTGAGTCACCGACGAAATTTGGTTCAACAAACTGAATAAACGTTTTTTCAGCGGCACAAACTTTTTATGAGAAGGGTTGCGCTCCACCCCTTCCCATTCCCTATTCCGCACCCCAAGA